CCTGATGCCTATGAAAAGAAGCCTAGTGGTTAAAAATCAGATTTTTTCAAAATCTGTGTTGGCTTAAGCCTTTGACCCCAATGAGTGATTAACATCTAGTTTCTCCTTTCAGGATCACCTCTGAATCAAACATTGTGATCAAGAGAATAAAGAAAGTGATCACTGATTAAAGAGGCTCTTGATTGTTAAACAAATTCTCTTTGACAGCACATTAGCAAATGTATAGCCAGAACGGTTTTGAAAGAATATCTTCATCATAAGTAGACATATTATGGCTCTTTCCTTTTGTAGAAGTAGATGTTAAATATTTTTTTGCGTTTTCAATTTTATTTGCAGAACACAGTGGATCATATTGTCACTTTCTTTAAACCTCCAAAAGATGTCCATCTCCAGGAGTAAGTGCTTTACTGTTGTTTAATGGGTAAAATTTTTGTAGATTTGTTTTACATTTGCTCTTCAACAATGACTTGAAATTACATGATTGTTCAATAGAAATCTATGCTTAGAGTAAGAAAAATATTCATATGTAGCAGACCCATTCAAGATATCTTGATGTCACACTTAATACACAAATCCTCTGTTTGTAGTGTTTAACTAGTTATGAGAAGTAAGGAGATTTGATGTTTCATTTCAGGTTGTCAGCCGAGGCATACTCAAGACTAGAAGATCTGAAGTCAGTATCCAAAGCAAGTCTGTATTATGCAATTGAACACCACAAGGTAATATTTTTCTGTTTTTGTTTACCACAAAAATTCCTTCCTACCTAAGGATTGAACGAGAAAACAGATACTAGTGAATTGTTACCGCAGACGTCAGTCATAAGTAACAAAGATATTAATCCTCCTCCGTCCCACCCTCATGACGTCCATGGGAGATCTGTGGCATATTAATGAGTGCAGGTCTGCGCTAAAGCTCTGTTGTCCTCCATGGTGTTATAATCATAGGCTAGACAGTGAACTCTCAGAGTATTCTATCCAACCAGGAGAATGGATCCAGGCTTTGGGTAACAGAAAGCCTTCAGAGGTACAGGGGCACACTAAGTCTCCTCAGAGACAAGTATAACTCGTGACTCAGCCATGTATGGTCTTGAAAAGTGTTCTTTTGATGTGACCATGTTGAATTTTGTTCAAAGTGTTAAAGACTGTGTATACCCTTGGTCAATATAGGGGCTAAGTTTCTAAAGAAGCTGTGGTACTGCGTCGGTGAGAGGGTATAGCAAGGTAAATTGGTATTATCAACTGAGTTGATAACGTAAATTGGCCACCGTTAAGAGTTTCAAAGTTAACGTTTCGATACCAAATTACCTTCTTAGGTCAATATGGTTTGGTTTTCTTATGTTCACTTGATTCTTGTTGTGCAAGTTAAACTTAAAAATTTATGATCAACTATACTTTTTTCAGATAACAGATGTGAATGTGGATGTGAAGTCTCCATTTATCATTATACCAGAGGAAGGCACCTTTAAGAAGTAAGTTGTTGGCTTGTGGGGTGCATTCACTCGGAAGTGGATGCGAAGTACTTTGCAACTTGTGGTTTTATGGTTATGTGATCCCCAACCTTTTTAGGATAAGGTGAATGTACTGATACAACAGTCATGTTATCCTTCAAATGTTAGTATGACATACAGTAAGTATATATAAGTATAGGATTCCTCCTCCCCTCCACTGGAATAATATGCCGACATGTATGGACCACCAGCCATTCCAAGCCTAGTTTTCTGGTCTATCAAACTTACAAACTGTTTATTGATGAAATGACATTTTGAACTCTCGGTTTCTAATTACAAACATTTAGGTGTATTCTCTACTGCTGATGATGCTACATTGGTTCTATATTGGCTGATAGGGGTCTTATAGTGTTCCTTTAGTGGCCCTATATTGTTCCTATGGTAATCCTGCATTGTTCCCATATTGCTTTCA